GACTCCAGGGTTCAAACCTTTCACATATTGTGCATTTAGTTCACCCAAATTGTAAATGGTAACGTTTTACTTCAGGGCCTCCTATTCCGAGACTTTTTGTGATATTTTTTTTTTCCGAGCCACCGACCCAATATCAGGAAACGCATTCGACGCTAAACGAAAAAAAAGGGGGGATGGCCTTACCCGAAATAACCAGCTGCAGCAAGTAATGTGATAAACTCTGAGAAGAATGTGATGGTGATTGAAACGGGCAATGGAAAATCAAAACTTGCGTGAAATAACACTGTGAAGTTTGGTAAATGTGCAAACGTTGGTTAAAGTGGTCGTAAAGATAGTTCTTTGATCATATTTTGCTTAAATTTACGCCTCTAGTAACCATAAATTTACACATTAACTTTGCTATGCCAGAAAATATCAAGCAAACATTCATTTTTGACGTTCGATTTTTACACAGAGAACAAAATGTCGGCAAATTTGAATCTAAATACCAAATTTACTATGGGGAGCAAAAGTGAAACAAAATATCTGTAAACTTGATATTTACTCCACATTTACGCCACCCTTGCAGAAAAGTAAACTTTCACTTTCGAACAAAATTTGCACCAAGAACAAATAAGTAGCAACATTAGTACCCTAGATTTACAATAGATTTGCTCAACTAGCAAACTTAGGCAAATCCGTTTTTTCGTCCAGTGTAAAGAGAGAGTCGGTCGATCGATGACACGGTTCACGTAAAGCAACTGCTACTTTAATGCTACTGTAGGCACAACAGCGAAATACTGAACAAACTCAAGAGCGAGGCACGAGAGCGTCTAGGGCGCGTGTCCTTATCTACAGTACCGCTGACCGGTACTGGCGTGGCCTCTTTTTCCTTTCTTTACTCTTACAAATATGGTATGAGCCCAATGGTTATAGAAAAATCTAGGTACATGTAAACGGCTAACATGAATAACAATAAAACTTTAACAGTTTCTAGTGTGGGTCACGAGGACCACTGGCTAATTAATCCATATCAAAGTCTTCAAAACGTGCGGGTCGGCGTCGCTCAGGTGTGGATCGGCGAGGAGGGGTGGCATCTGATTCGCTGTCGCTAGCATAGGGGTCTCTGGTTTCATCAGGGTGGGTCACGGTCACGGTATCGTGAGACTCATCGTGGCTGGTAGGGAAGTCATCAAGGTGGGGGGATTCCTGGATAGAAGGTGTCGAGATCGCGCACGGAATGTTTGGCGGAGGCGGTGGTTCTGGCTGTGTTGGTGGAGTTTCGTCAGATGATGAGTCTGCGTCCCTATTGGGAGCAGGTGGTCTGTGGATCACGCCTTCGGATGGGACTCGATAGCACTCAGACATCTTCACTCGGTAAGACGTGCTGCGGAGTTGGGAGCCAACAAATTTCTTGACGTTGCAGAACGAGCCGGTTATTTCTACGACAAGGTAGCGATCGCGGGCTCTGGTCTTGTTCCGATCGGCATAGAGGTAGACTAAATCACCTACAGCAACACGGTCAGTGGGGGTGCTCTTTGAGACAGGTGTCTTTGACTTCTCACTGTGGGGGTGGTTAGACAACCGTTGTGTATGTTGTCGTAGGATGATGTCCTGGTCTTGTAGGGGGATCTGCTGGTTTGTGAACTGATCACGTTGGGTCCACATCTCTCTTGCGGAAAGACCACGTGAGCGAAGGCGCGCGTTTAGATTGGCTGTGACCACGGCGAGTTGCACGTGGTTTACTGGACCGCCTAGTGGATCATGGCGGAGTAGTTCGCTTTCGACCTCCTGTACTGCCCGCTCTGCAATAGGGTTCTTGTTTCTGTTTTTGGCGTCGCCGATCTCAAGGGTGATTCTGTGGTGTTTCAGTAGTTGATCATCCCTGAGTGCTTTGAATCCTGGGGCTGGGTCGGTACGTATGACGGCTGTTGGTCCATCTAGTGGACGTAGTTGGACACAAAGACGGATAAGAGCGTCGCGCAGAGTGTTGTGACGCTCGTCCTCCAGCAGGGTTGTGGCTGTAAACGATGTCACGCACTCACGTAGTACAAGCACAAGTTGTCTTGAGCGTTTGATGACATCTGCGGCAAATGATACGCCAACTGCGTCGGGAGGGGGGCAGGACCACTGCTCCACGCGCGTTTTCGGAGTTTGGCGTAAAGAGGCACAGATGTGGCAAGCTTGGGTCACGCGGTCGATGGCCTTGTATATGTCTAAGGCATATAGGTACCGGTTGGTTACAGCCTGGAGTTGATGGCTCGACGGATGGGTGAGCTGTATGTGTAGGGCTGTCAGCAGTCCATCAAGCACTTGTCGAGGGACAATGATGCACTCGCGGCTAGGTACAAGGGGTTCATCACGCCAGACAACGAGCAAGCCATCTTTTGCAATGGTAGCCACGTTCAGGTATCTTTTAACGTCTTTGATGTTGGTAAGTTTCTTCGAAGGGCGTGTCCCTTGTTGTAAGTGGGCGCGAGTACGCCGCAGATCGGCACATTCGGCCTGAATGGCTAACCAGGCAGTGCGGCTGGTGAAGGGTAGGCGCTCATCACCACGCAGTATATCCTGTACCGATGTGTTTCTGACAACGGAGTCTTGGGTGAGTTTTGTGAAGGCGCAGATCTGGCAGGCTTCGTCTTCGCAAGGGGGTGCGTTGCGGCTGGCGAAATCAGAGGGTAGGATCGCAGATCCGGATACATGTCTGACGGACGCTTGATACCGGCTCACAGTTGATAGAAAGGTGGAGACGCGAGGGCTAGTGGAAAACTCCCCGCGACAGAGTTTTTCAAATGCCTGTACGCACGGTTTGCTGTCGGTTAGGATGCAGGCCTTGTGAAGGGATTGGATTAGGTACGGGCTGAAGTGCTTGGTGGCAACGGCAATAGCTAGGGCCTCCACCTCACACGGTAACCATGTCGGTTGTGAGCCACGTAGCTTTGTGCTAAAGAACCCTGCCAAATGTAGTTTGTTGTCACGGGTGACGTAAAGCGTGGCTCCTATTCCAGGCTTACGGACCGCCCCGTCGGTCACAATCCACAACTGGTCACTTGGTTTGGGTAGCGAGATGGTGCGAGCAGTGGAGAGGGCTTTCTGGGCATGGAGGAACGAAGTTCGGAGGTCGTCTGACCATTGTATGTGTTCTTTGGATTCGCGGCCAGCTACGGTGTCATCAAGTTGGGCAAGGAGTGACGAGCACC